GTCCATTTTGCTAATTAATACGTCAAAGATCGTAAAGAAGAACTCATCAGCTTTTTTCCACTACTGCATCATTTTAAAGAGCTGTGTCAGCAGAGACTTCAGCAGACAGTCAATACATATTAAGACGAGTTCCAAGCATTAAATAATAAGAAAGAACCATATGAAAAATGAAAATAAAGCAAATAGCTAGAGGCTAATGGAATCCCATTTGTGACTTTGCATAAAAGGGAGGAAAGGGCAGCATTTTCCCAATACAAACAATAGCTTGAACATAAATCCTTCCAATCTATGCTATTATAACCACCATAACAGCTGTATATTTATAGCAAATTAAATTAAGATAGGCATTGTTGCCAAATCTGATTTGAAACCTGGCTTATTGAAACACACTCAGCAGAAAAGCTGTGAGAAGTAGAGTGAGTGTTTCTGAAATTACACACAGGAACTCTGGTGTAATCCCATTGGCTGCATCCCATTGGATGTATTGTCTGAAAGTGTAAAAGACTGGGAATGGATGCTTATGGGAAAAAATAAATACTTTTGTTTACCCTGTCATTTATTTCATTGTGTTTTTTACATTCATTTGGTGGTCAAGATTAAACTGTTCCCCTGATATTCTATCAGGCTACTATAGTGGGGCAAATTTATTAAATTTATATGCCACCCATCTCACTCTGCAAAACGATTCATTGGAGCTATAGATCTTCTTGACCAGATCTGCAGACATACCAGCTCCATTTCCTTTGTTAACTGACATCTAGTAGCTGGGAGTTCATCACACTTTTTGTATAGGGAGAAATGGGAAATAGGGTCATTCTGGCAAACCATTTGTCTCCCCACTTTCTCAGCTGCTCCCAAGCTAATTGGGCAGTGGGTAACTTTATAATTTTAAAAATTAACTCTTGGCTTTACTAAGAGTTAGTATGTATGTATGTAACCTTTAAAAGTTATCGTGGAAGTTATTTTTTAGCTTTAAGTCAAATCTTGGCCAAGCCAAGAAGCCAGCAACTCCAGTTTAGACCACCATTCCTTTTCTTTACGCAATAGCAATAGCTAGTTCAGAATTCAGAATCTCTGTGGGGGGTTTGTTTTCTTTGAGTGTTGTGTTAAAAACAGTGCTAAATTAGAACTTGGGAAAAAGAAGAGCTAGGCTTTTGCTTATAACCTGGGATGATGACATGGCAAAACTGAGACAGCAGTGGAGTAGTCTAAAGCAAGAGGTGAGAGATAGGAACAACAGCATTTTCCATTTCTGTCTGCTTGTTTGTTTATCTATCTTGCCTATACATCCATCTGTGTTTATTATCATATTATCTAAAGACCACAGCTGGACTCTGGTTGAGGTTTGCTTGTAATAGTGTAAAAGAGACCCAGGGCCTCACCCATAGACCAGGTATGGAAATTGGAAATGAGAGCTTGTTTGGTTTGAAAACAATTCCTTGCCAACAATTATGACTGCAGTGGGCCTCATTCCAACATGGATTGACAGGAAGGGCTCCCATTTATTTTTTGGCATACAAAATGCAGCTGCTATGTTTGCAAACCGCCTCCTGAGTAGCAGGGCACAATTTCCAACTGATGAGTCACTTTTTGGAAAGATTTTCAGCTAGAGATTTAGCAGTGGTTTCAGAGAGGCGGATGAAAGACAAGACCAGGTGAGATTCTCAGTTTCAAATAGAAAAATAATCTTTTGTACACTGAAGGCAAAGGAAAGAACTACAGGGTAGGAGAAATTAAAAAGATTACATTCTTCTACCATAGAAATGAAAATTGCTGTATGCCAAAAGGATTGACTAAAAGCATCTCACTAAAAATGTCAGTGATACAGTGCAGTTACTTTGTTTAAATAAAGCTTTATTATACACAATATATTATCACCGTGATTATTAAAGCAGACAATGTCGCCTTCATTTTTTAATTTCGCAAAACATATAACAAAGTTTGTTCAAAATGGTTGCTTTCCACATATCCTTTAAAAGAAGGATATGGTTTCTAAGCTAAATAGAAAAGGCATTAAAATATTTATCTATGAGATTTTCACTGTGGTATTAATAATCTAAAGCTTTTTACTCCAAGAGAAATTAAATAGTTTTCTAAACTTGTGCTAGAATACACTGAATTTAGTTTCTACTTATATGTAGAACTCCCCCCCCCCCCCCCCCAATCAAACAAATTCTATTTATGGGAACAACCTAGGTCATGATAGATAGATAGATAGATAGATAGATAGATAGATAGATAGATAGATAGATAATTTTATTTCTATACCGCCCCTCACCCGAAGGACTCGGGGCGGTGCACAGCCAAGTAAAAAACACAATATAAATCCCAATTAAATTTAAAAATTATTAAAATTATTACATTTACGGCCAAGATTCATTAAAAACGCAAAAATTTAAAACTTCGAATTTAAAACTCCTTTACAAAGATAGCCCTGCCTGTTGGAAGAGCAGGGTCTTGAGGGCACAGCGAAGAACTCGGAGGTCAGAGATTGTGCGTATTTCCGGGGGCAGTTCGTTCCAAAGGGCAGGAGCTCCCACAGAGAAGGCTCTCCCCCGGGTGTCGCCAGCCGACATAGTTTGGCCAACGGCACCCTGAGGAGTCCCTCTCTGTGGGAGCGAATTGGTCGGTGGGAGGCTATCGGTGGCAGAAGGCGGTCTCGTAGGTACCCAGGTCCTGAGCCATGGAGCGCTTTAAAGCTGGTAACCAACACCTTGAATCGCACCCGGAAGACCACTGGGAGCCAGTGCAGCTCACGCAGGAGAGGTGTTACATGAGCGCAACGGGTTGCACCCATAATCATCCACGTGGCTGCATTCTGGACCAGTTGGAGCCTCCGAATGCTCTTCAAGGGGAGCCCCATGTAGAGAGCATTACAGTAGTCCAGCTGAGAGGTAACAAGGGCGTGAGTGACCGTGCGCAAGGCATCCTGGTCCAGAAAGGGACGCAACTGGCGGAACAGGCAAACCTGATAGAAGGCCCCCCTGGCCACGGCCGTCATATGCTCTTCTAAAGACAGCCATGTGTCCAGGAGGACACCCAGATTGCGAGCCCTCTCTGTGGGGGGTAAAGATTCACCCCTTATAGACAGCGATGGCAACAGCTGACTATACCGGGACGCTGGAAGCCACAGCCACTCGGTCTTGGAAGGGTTGAGTTTGAGCCTATTTCTCCCCATCCAGACCCGCACGGCCTCCAGGCAGTGGGACATCACATCAAGGGCATCATTGGGGTGGTCTGGGGTGGAGATGTACAGCTGAGTATCATCAGCATACTGATGTACCCTCACTCCAAAACCACGGATGATCTCGCTCAGCGGCTTCACATAAACGTTGAACAGAAAGGGCGAGAGGACCGACCCTTGCGGCACCCCACAAGCAAGGCGCCTCGAGGTCGACCTCTGCCCCCCTGCCAACACAAACTGTGAGCGGTTATTAGTTATTAGTTATAATTCAATAGATAATAATTAAATAATAGATAATTAAAGATTTTCACATTTGTAATACTGTGTTTCCCAAAAAATAAGACCTATCCCAAAAATAAGCCCTAGCTGGATTTTACACGTGCACCCAGTATAACCCCTACCCCCCAAAATAAGCCCTAGTTAAGATCCTGCCCACTCTATTGTACTTGGTTGCATGGGGTGGGGCGAGGCACACAGGTAAAAATCAACCTAGGGTGGGGATGGGGGGTGGAGGTGCTTACCTTGCAGCCAGGCCTCACACACTTTGACAGCTGCCTCACCTTGCCAGCCCACCTCTTCTGCGGCCACTTGGCACTACTTACACGCGTCGCTTCCAGCCTCCATTTTGCCATCAGAGGCCTTTCAGGAAAGGTCTCTGCAGCCGATAAAAGAGCTCCAGATTGACCTGCAAAGTGCCCCCTGTCCTCTGTTTCACCATCAGAGGCACCATCAGAGCTCGTTTCTCGGCTGCAGAGGCCTTTCCTGAACGCCTCTGACAGTGAAATGAGACCGAGTCTTATTTTTGGAGAAATGCAGTATTTTGGGATAAATGAAATAAGCAACTTTTATTCTATTATTCTGTCAGAGAGAACGATTTGGAGTTCTAGAGAAGGAAATCTAAACAGTTTTCAACATTTATAACAGTCATCCCATAATTCAAATACGAACATCTTCCAAAATTATGCTACAATAGATAACGCAGAATAGGACCTTATATAAGGCTTTCAAATGCTTTCCCCTAATCAAAGCAGTATTTACAGTGATCCAGAATTCCATTATAAAATGTGGGTCAAAAGCAATTGAAGCTTTGGGTCTCAAAATTTTAATTATATTCTTTCAGTCTAGAACTTGAAACAAACATAACCATCACAATTAAAAAAAAAGATTTTAAAAAATCTTTTATTTAAAAAAATCTATTTTTTCAGATCAGATGGAAATCCATTGTGTGATAGCTGCTGCGAAGTAAGGTTACTCAATGTTTTATTTAGGAACTGACCTATGCTTGGAACTGAGTTTCTGAAGCAAAGAATTGGGGCTGAATCTGGAAAAGGAATCAAGTTTATGTAATGTGACACAAATTTACACAACACTGACACAAGCATGTTATCTAATCTAGGAAGGTCAAGATAAAGATGGGTTTGGAAATCCAGAAAAAACTATATTCTACATAGCTGGAATGAACTATACCAATCAGCTGACTCATATTGACAAATGAAAACATTAACATAATACACTAAAAATAACCCCCCCCCAAAAGCAAAGATTTTCCTTTCCTCCCTAGCCTCCTCTTAAATTTTTAAATTTTTAGTTTTCTTCGGTTTACTTGGCACACATAATTGTTTCTAATTAAAAAGCCATATTATTGCTGCTTTTGCAAATTATTCAATTTTCAGTCAATATCCTAGAAACAGAAAAAAATGTTAATTACAGATTAGAGATTCACCCTGAATAGAATTTAAGTGACTCTCTATTTTATATATTTTATATAATATTTTAATTGAAAATATGGTAAAAATAAGGGGGAAACAAATCTTACCTAGTTTCTGAACAGTCAATAAGGCAACTTTACTTTCATCTGCCACTAGAGAAAAGGAAGGAAAAGAAAGTGCATAAAAATCAGATTCAGCCCTAAATGAAGAAACCATATATCATCAGTAACATCCTAGATTATATTCCAAAACAGATGCACTTGTGTTAGCAAAGTTTTTATTTTTGGTGTCTAATTCATCAATAAATATAAAATAGCAACAGATTTGAAACCCTAATTAAATTAAAGTTAAAAATAGGCATGGACTTTTCAAATATTTTTTGAGCAAAGATGATATTTCAATCATACTACGTATTTTTGCAGCCAATTTCAGTGGAAAGCAGGTTGGATTTCTGTACAGAAGTAACTCCAATACACAAAAATGGAAGCATGATAAAATGTACTTGTGATATAATACAGCGGTTCCCAACCTTTCCAGATTGGTGAATCTGAGGGGGTGGGGGAGAGAGGATGGTTCTGTGTGAGTGCCAGTGCCCACCGCTCATGCAAATGGAGCTTTGCATGTGAGTGCAAACGTGAGCGCCTGCCAACCATAGAAGTAGAGCTGCCCATCCCTGTACGGTTGCCTGCTGCTCACACAGTTTGGTTCTGAATGGGCCGCAGTCTGGTATTGGGCCATGACCCTGGGGTTGAAGTATATAATATACTTCAATCTTAAATGTAAACCCACCCACCCCCACAAATTATTCATGTTTTTGCCAATACCATTTTTAGCCAAATTGGGCATTATGTTTCTCTTAATCTTATGCCTGATTTTTGTTGTTGTTTAGCCACAACTGGGAGTACTATTCATACTCAATCCTTGAAAACTCCTGTGGATCCAATCAGAATGGAATGCCCCTTATCCTATATACACATATGTTTTCTATTCACATTTGGAGGAAGGCTTCCATTGGCAAGAAATTCTAGAGCAACTCAACAGGGAAAACCCACTGTCTCCAAACAGTTTTGATGCCATTAACATGGAAATAGTTATTTTAGAAATATAATATTCAGGTAAAACTATGAGCAGAGATTGGTTTAAATCTATTTTTGCATGGTCAGTCAAACCTCCAAAAATATGCCACCAGCAGGCATCCCCAAACAAAAAGCTTTGAGTATGAAAAATTTGGAAGACCAAGATACATTCATTACTTTCAAGGTGGCTCCCTACATTGCCCTCCCCCTTTCTCTCTCTCTTTCATAGTTTGTTCTTTTTGCAGAGAGAGATTCGAAAACGAAGTTTATATGAGCTCTAATATAATAGATTTGGACAATGGAAAATCTATCCACTCCCTTCCCAAATATCTCAGTAAAATTTGAAATATTTTCTATCTGTATAAAGCGTACCAAAAGCACTTCACTTCACAGAGAGCAAATTAATTAACTAAGGCCATGTTTCCACAACCCCCCAAAATTTCCATGCTTTTAAGAATCTAAATAAATTACTTTCCCTGATCTAAACGTATTTTAGTCAGGGGAAAAATCAGTTGCTAGCTTTCCAGATGGATGTTATCCTTACACAGCCCTTTCTGCATAATAAAGATATAGTGCCATCAATTAATTTTAAGTCAATGATTGTGCCAATAACATTACTTCAGTTGCTCTTATTTCTGCATTGCAGTGTTTCCACATCTAAGGATGTTGGATAGTAACACAGAACATGTCAAATCATGGCTCAAATGCATCCTTTTGCAAACATTTTAGCTGTTTTATTTTTAATGGAAACTCTTTCATGGAATGCTAATGTTATTTTATCTAAAAATATGAACTCATTTTGAAGACCTCAACAAAATCGACAGATAAAATTCTTACATGCAAGAAGACCAAAAGCTTCTATTATTTCAAGCTAAGTTCAATAGATGAAATTGGTGAATTGTTTGTTTCAACTGCTCTTACAAACATCAGAGCCAATGTTAAGCTATGATTCGATAGCCTGGTACATTAAATGAATCATCATTAGAAGAAACCAACGTCTAGAAGTTCAGGAGTCTTGAACTTGAGCTTGCATGTATTTTGTGTGATTATGCAGGATGAATAGCAACTACTATTTGATACTGTATTGCATACTTCTTTCCTTCTCCTCTCTTCACAATAGCACTCAAGGAATTACTTATTCTGTAGTCACTGGAATAGCTATTATATTCTTTTTAAAGTACAAAACAAGGTTATCCAAATGCTATATGTATGACTGAAAAGTAACATTTTCTCTCTCTCTCTGTCAAATCTCCTGAATACAGTTAAATGTCTTTGGATCTAAGTACCTGCAAATCTTTTTCCAAACCATCTAAAATAATATATCAGCCCTTGGCAGAAATCTATTCTGAAACAGGTAATAAAGAGTTGGGGATAAAATTCTTTATTCCAGGGGCATACAGCAAAATCAAAATGTAGACAAGTCTTCACAATGTTATAATTCATAACACTATATTTTGCCGGGACTATCTCACTTCCTCACACATTATTGTTATTATCAGGACAATACAAATTTTCTTTTTCTTTAATAACACCTCTGCTTTTCATTCTAAGTAATGCACAACTAATGAAAGCTAGCATACAGGTTCCTTTACACTTTTGTTGCTGCATGTCTTTCTCATACACTAAATGAAGCAGATTAATCCCCTCACAATGAAATACCACAAAACATTAATAATCCACTTTCTAATGGAATCCGTAATAGCCATTATCACTTCCACTCAGTTTCCAGGTCATAATGATCAGCATTCTATTATAGAAAAGTTACCAGGAAAGACTGTCCTAACGGACAGGTTACCTCAGCATCCCTGGCAAATAGACACCCATTGAGCCTCTGCTTAAAGACCTCCCATGAAAGAGCTTCCACCACATTTCAGGCTACTCTGACCTATTGTTAAACAGCTCTTATCATTAGGAAACATTTCTCATATCTAAGTAAAAACTACTTCCTTTCAGCTTAAAACAGTTGTAGACAGAAAATCTAAACTGAAGAGTGAACAGAGGTTGGAGAAGAATGCAACAAGGAAAAAAGGGGGCTCTTATTCTATACAGTCTATATTCAAGAGCGAATATGGCAAAAGGATATACTATATCATCATCCTTTGGGATCGACAAACACCATCTTGCATGATCAAATGCAGGATCTGAGTCCAACTGGGCTCCATTTATTCTGCTTTGCCATTGTTGCTTCAGCCTTCCATGCAGACCCTTGCCATCTGTGTTAAAGTGAAGGCGATGCAGGCAATAGTGTGGGGTGCTGCTTGTAGGACATGACCATATCACTGTAGGTGTTTCACCTACATCTTCTCAAATATTGGTGCAATGCCCATTTGCTGACGTACTGAGTCATTGCTGACATGATCAAGAAAAGAAACACCTAACAACCAGCGAAGCATGCACATGTCCGTGGCATGTACAGAGCTCACAATTCATTTGGTGGTTGGCCAGCACTCAACACCATAGAAAGTTATTGCACGTACCATTGTTTTATACACCTTTTATTTTAGATAGATTGGTGTGCATTGATTCCAGAGTACTCCAGTGCTTTGATCATAGCCATGTTTTGTTCAAATTCAAATTCAAATCTTTATTGTCAGTGCACAACATATGTACAATGAGATTGGTTGAGCTCCCTCAGTGCACCCCCCACCAACACAATACAACTCAGTGAAGACAGAAAATCCCTAATCCAATAAATCATATTAACAAAACACTTGATCCTATTGCACCAATTTGGACATGTTACACATTGTGCCGGCCCTGCAGTCCATCATACTACGTAGTTACGATGTTATTTCTCATTCAGGAGTCTGACAGCCCACAGATAAAAACTGTTCTTCAGCCTATTTGTGCGGCTGGCTATACTTCTATATCTCCTTCCTGATGGTAGGAGGGTAAGGAAATGATGACCAGGGTGAGAGTCATCCCTAAGAATTTTCCTCACTCTTCTAAGGCAGCGAGCCCTAGCGATCTCATCTAGTGGTAGCAGGGGACAGCCCACAATGTTTTGTGCTGTGCTCACCAACCTTTGTAATGTTTTTCTATCCACGGCTGTCAGACCGGCATGCCATACCATAATGCAATAAGTGAGGACACTTTCTATTATGGACCGGTAAAAGGAGGTCATCAATTGTTGTTCTAATGATGAAGTGCATGCAAGAGTGAACAAAGCAAAAGGATACATAGCAAACAATAAAATAAGCATGGGATTATTCAACTCCTGTTATTGTTTAATATTGTTTCACTGTGTCGCACTAACACATTTAATTTTGAACAGCAGGATGTTTGATTAAAATGTCATCTGGAAGTACATACTGAACTTGAATGAATACAAGCCTTCCAAAGCCATATGAATTGCATCTAAGTGTCCCGAAAGAAATTTCTAATAGTCTTGCCAAATTTTATGTTTGTCTTAACTGAAATTTCAGATAATTGGAGGAGGAGGATCATTGCTTTTATTCAGAAGAGAGGGAAAAGGAAGATCCATGAGATAGAGACCAGACCATATGACACTGAAACCATAAAGAGGCTAATTTGTCAGCACTTTAAAACAATATATGAATTACCAGAAGTCAGCAAATATTTGCCAAGAATATATGTTACCAGACTAAATTTCATTTCCTTACTAAACTAGAGAAATGCTGTGGAACTGATTTTGATTTTAGTGAAGCATTTGACAGAATACCCTAGGACAGTGTTGGCGAACCTTTTCGGCACCGAATGCTGAAATGGGAGCGCACGCACGTGGGAGCACCGGAAACTAGAAGAGCAGCTCCCCAGCGTGCATACGCAGGAGTGCTGGAAACCGGAAGAGCAGTTCCCCAGCATGCATGCACATGCCGGGAAGTTAAGCTTCCAGTTTCTGGCGTGCATGTCACCTGGTCTTCCGGTTTCAGGCGAAGACCAGCTGGCTGGCACGCATGCGCATGCAGGAAACCAGAAGGTCAGCTTCCTGGTGCGTGCATGTGAACCAGAGAGCTGCTCTTCCAGTTTCTGGTGCTCCTGCCTGCACGAAGAACGGCTGGCCAGCGCACCAGAACCCAGAAGACCAACAGGCGATGGCTGGCGTGCCCAGAGAG